TTCTTTTTTCTTAAAGGGGTTCAGTCACCTTATACAGAATATATATATTCAGTACTGCATTATCACAAGCATTTCCTCTCCTCTTTTATGTTCCCAGAAAAAAAAACAACTTCAGAATAGCCCACTCACCACCTTTTTCAGGTTAGGAGGGTAATCAGTTACTGGAAGCCCTTTGTAGCTAATGATTATGTCATTTATTTTACTGGCCATTATAGGGGTATTGATAAATGGGGCACTCCTGAAGGTAAGGTTATTCTGAACACATCTTCTTGCCTGACACTTGCTGTCTTTGTTGAACAGAAGCCAAGTATACCTACTGCAAGCTGAATTACATATTGCCTAGTTAGTAGGATATACTGCAATAGAACTGTAAGAACTACATTTGCGATACGCTTTTAAAAAAGAATAAAAAATGTTAATTCTCTTCTGTTCAAGAATACCAAGAAAAAAAGTTCAGTCTAACTTGGATTTTATTACCTTATGCAAAAGTGTTTTTAAAACCTTCTTAGACACTGTATTTAGATCCTGCAAAGTCATGGGGAGCAGTTCACTTGGTTTCTTCGACAGACAAACATTTAGAGTAGTGCTGACACACAGGGATTCCTGGTAGATCCACACTTAGAATCCAAATGCCCAAGTTTCCATTACAGCTGCAAGGTAGCGCATGCCTAAAGGTACAGGTATTACATACATTTCCTTAGAGACAAGGAGGCATTGCTAACTTACTAATTATAGAGTGAACTGGTAGTTCTCATTTGGTATTCTGCAAATCTTCAAGAATGTTTTATTAGCCACTAAATACATGAGGACTATTGACATCCAGAAATACTCCATTTTTAATAAGCTACCCTATCACCTGATATAACAGTAAAATTACAAAGATTATATTCATGAAATCAAACAGATCTTCCTGGCATTCTATCCAGGCTCATAATAAACACGCTCTCTTTTTACTTATGTATTAATTTGGAACAATTTTATAGAGCTCTCACTGCATTTAGGCCACTGTCTACCCAGAAATCTGCATTACCTGGGAGCATGTAATGAAACAGCATTAAAATAGATTATGCAAAAACTGAATGCACAGTAGTCTAATACATGCACTGCCGTACCCTCCTCATCAATAGTTAAAGGAACCCAGCAGTATCATTGGCAAGATCCTGCAAACAGACTTGAAGCAATCTCATGCTTGCATTAATTTTTATTTCAAAAATTTTAGCTGGTAATTTCTTATATTTTCTACATACCTAATTAATGTAGGAGATAAAACATACCAGAGACATATTATTAGATCTAGGCATGAAACAGTTAACAGCAGTGCACATGCCAAGGTTTTAATAAGGCTTAACAATAAAAAGCTTCAATCCTCCACTTTCACTAGATTTTGTTGTTGTGGTTTTCCCTTGCTTAGGGCAATCCATCTGTTAATGTTGACTTGCAATATAGTTAAGCTCGCACACATATAAAAAGCCTAGAACAGCTAACCTAAGCAAGAGTAAGTTCAAATGAATATTATAGAGATAGAACAATTCATCTTAGGCAAAGATTAATTGTGTGTGCGCGCATGCGTGTGCACACAGGCACATATGACTGCCCTCCTGTTATTTTTGGGTTTTTTTAGGAAAGACTTTGAAAATGCAAATTATAGGAGGGCAAGCTGATCACTACAGTTTGCAATAATACATTTAATTATTTATCCTCTGATTAGGTTTTGACAGCTATTTTACATGGTATAATTTGTTTTGATTTACTGTTAATTTTTTTAAAGTCTATTGCCAATCTGGCAAAAAAAGATACAATAAAACCACTATGACAGCGGTGATAAAGCTTAGTCAATATTCATTGTTAAAAATGGCTCTGCACTGTGACCAGTGCTGGTATTCTCCCTGGGCCAAACTGGCCTTGTTTTCAATAAAACCAGAGAAGTATCCTTTCCCTTGAGCCCTGTTAGGCTGAGGCTGCAGTTGGAACTGTCATCTTCACACAAAAGCAAAGGGGCTGGGTTTTACAAACGCAAAGCCTAATTGGGAGATCTTCATGGCTGTACCCTTGACATTTATTAAAGCCTCATCAACAAAACAGGAAATAACCGTACTAATTAGCAGACCCACATACAAACTACTATTTGCGGGGGTAAAAGCAGATTCACTTCCTATTGTAAAGGAAACGTCCTCCCAGACCCCAAAATCCTGTTATGAACCAATTATTAAAATGATCTTTTACAGTGAAGCAAACTTTCATGTCATACATAATGTTTCGAAGTAAATATGTTTTACAGCATCTCAGGTAACTATTAGTTAGTATTTATGATTAACTGTTTCCAAGATGTGGAGAATGAAAAGCTCAAGGTATGCGTCTAACATGACATAAAATATAACACCAAATTCTCTGTATTTACAAGTTTTAAAATGTTTCCGTATGGAAGAGATACTAATAAGTGCAGAGGTGCCTCTCGTTTGGAAGCAAGATGACCATTAAAAGCAATCTCCCTCTTTTGTTTGTTGTTTGTTTAGGTTTTGGGGGGATACTCAAATACACTGACATTGCAACTTAATCAATATCTGATCCTTACTTTAAATATATATCAAAGTGTATGAAATGCATGGTAGCACTATCCTTATACTGCTATAGACACCCATGGGCACCATTTTAGAAATCTGGGTGGAAACGTTCATTTGCAGGATAAAGAGTTACAGAAAAAAAGGATTAAACCCGACAACAATAGCAATCTGTGAAATTCACTTCTTTTAAGCGGTAGCTTCAGTACTAGATCAAACAGTCTCTCTCATACACATGCACTTGTGAATACAAATATATTTTTTTATTTGGACATAAAGTTTAAAATCACCACTTATTCATAAAGAACTTGCACTTATGTTATCTTATTCAAATACTTACCAAGAAAAAAAAAAACCAACAACAAAAAAACCCAACAACAACAAAAAAACACCACAAAAAACCCGCAAGAGTAGCAACAGTAGACTATTATTTTTTAGAAATATTTTGGTTTAGTTTGCTTTTGGAGAGGAGGAAAAAGTGGGAATAGCATGAGTGAGAGGTGAGGGAAACTGTGTGAGAGTGGAGTTCTTGAGCGATCACCATTTGCTCCTTCCTGCCCACTGGGCTCACATACATTTGGGACAAGAGCTGGGGAGAAGACATCGGACCTTCAGTTTGCAGCAGGGCAAAACTGCGGGGCTACCAGTTACAAGCTTCGCTAGTAAACAAACCCTAGATAAGTACATGTACATGTATGTGTATATGCATGTGTATATGTATACATGTAAACAAAACTATTGACGGACATGCACTCCTCCTGTCTTGTTTTCAAAACTAAAAGATGAGTGGTAGAAACAGCAACAATGATATTAAAGGATTTAGCAGTATACAGCTGCACGAACACAAAAACATACAGAAGTTAAATTGTTCTGTCCAAACGCAGGCCTTCAAAAGAAATGTTTAATTGTACCAAGGTAAATTATATCCTTTGTATCCCTAGACTACTGTATCTAACAGTAGGCAGCACTACCATATCAGTAAATTACTGCAGATTTCTTTAATAAAAGCAGCCTATAAAAATTCACTGAACTACAAGGGTACATTTATGTTACGTATTTACACAGATACATACAACTGTAGATTCACCTAAACTAATCTGTGAATGTTGGCTTATAATGCATTAAAAGCTTTTTAATACCCCACATTATCAAATTATTGGGGGGGTGCTATATATTAAAATGACTGTTATCTATTACAAACAAATATTTTAAGAACCACTCATGTTATTAACATTAGAGCACTATACTCATACATTTAGAATTGTATATCCTCTCTTCTGATACTCAGTGAAGAAAATCTACTGTACACAAATTCCTGAAAGAATGCAGGCACCACAGCTGCCTGTATGTAAAAATATACTGAGGGCAAATAGTTTAAAACTTTATCACTCGCTTTAAGAGACCATGAAAACATGTACAAAGTAAAACCTGCCTAAATAATTAAAGCAGAAAGTCTTTGTATTATTTATAACCCTACTAAAAATAATGACTTAATACTAATGTACAATTTCAACATCATTTAACAATAATCTGCATCAGTTCTATGTTAAATTTCACAAACTTCGTATTTATTACAGATAAAAGCTAATTCAAAAATCAAATTGATTAAATAGGCAATTCAGATTTTTATCATTGCAATATCTGAAGTAAAAAAACAAATGTTGTTAGATCAGCTGGACTGAATTTCTATACTTCATTCTCATGAGGAAGATATATGCATTAAAAATCCATATATAAACATTTATTACATGTATTAAAAACATGCAATAACAATATAATGTAAAAATATATACCCACACATTAAAATATGTACAAATGCAGGTATTTATTCGCAGAAAAGTGTTAAAAAACTATTTTATTGGTATCTTTGAAACAAAACTCTCAAAATGAATCCAAAGACATTACAACACTTGCCAAAGTTGAGAAACTACACCTGTTACTTCAAATCAAGACTAGAAAGGATTAGAGAACAAAAGAATAAGAGATTGGCACCGTATTAACTAGCTGACTTATTAATAAAATAATAAATCATAACTATCTGAGCAAGGTTAAAGGCCATATGACTGCCGAATCAATTTATTAGAAATACAAAACTGATGTGCCCCACTAGAAACTAAAAAAGATAGCTTAACACAGATCTGTGGATAGAGCAGAATATATTTTCTAAGAAGCCTTTATCATAAACAGTATTTAAGAATTAAATCTCAGATCCATACTTATAAATCTCCTGTTTTTTCCCTCTCAACAGGGATGAAATACGAATAACATTTTTCCTCCATTCAAGCAGTATAGCAGTATTTCCATAAACATAGCCTTTTAATCACACTATCCAAACACAGACGGTAAAATAATCTTAAACAGATTAATTGATGCGTTACTATAAGTGACAAAAAATTTTCCTCATATGTATGTGAATAAGAACAGAAGTTTCAGGTGTCTTACCTGGGCCAGTCTTCGTTTTTCTGAGTTTGCTCTTTTCTCATAATGCAATGTGTAGACAGGAGCAGCCTGTACTGCACCAGCACTGCAAGTTCCATACTCTTCCTCACTCTCCTACAACAAAACAGATTTAAATTCCTTTATTTATAATCATTATCTGCAAATGTACCCTCCATATTATGCATGCAGAATGCATTCAAAATTATCTTGCCACAATCTATTACTGTCATGAAAATACCATCTGTAGTAAAAATAAAATTTAGCTTTTCAGGAAGCTGAATTATCAACACTGTCATTTAAAAGATGAATTGTTCAAACGTCTAGGAAACATTTTTGAAAGTTTTCTTAAAATAGCATAAAATATATCTAAAAAACGGTTCCTTCTCCCTACAGAAAAATTTTAAGTGGAAACAAAATTTTCAATGGGAAAAGCAGCTGCAAAATGCCAAAAAAATCTTTTCTGATTTTCTGCAATGTTGCTTTTGCAAAACGAAACTATTCCTTCATTTTTAAACATTGCCATTTTCCACATATGAAGCCAAAACAGACAACCACACCTTCTGAAATACATCACACTGCAAGACTCCCCCATCTCAAATTCTCAGCTTGAAGCAAAGGCTTCGATTGTGATATCAAAGCAATCAACTTTATGAAAACATACATCCTGTTAATGTATCTTTGAAGACCTCTGTTGTTCTATGATAAAATATGCAAACAATAAAGAGATTATTCAGTGGATGCACAGAATGACAGATAGTTGCCAGAGGGCTCGTTATGAAAAATGTATTGTTGAACAAAGGGCTAAGCATATTTCAAAAGTCATTAAAAACACAAATCTCATGTGATTTGTAAAGTATAAGCTTCAAAATTATACAGGAAGCAAGGTAAGAAAGTAAAAAGTGTACTACATACCTTATGTTTTAACTTACTCTTCACTTCTTTTATTCCTTGCCTTGCCTGATTTTTTGCCTAGAAAAATAAAAGGACTTAAGTAGCTCTGCAAGACACTGGCTGTAGTCACAGAACATGCTTTATGATGCCATACTTATTTACCTTTTTTTTTAAACACCTGGTGATATAAGAAGGATATATTATCACAAATTTCATACATGCATTGTCAGTATATTTTAGATATTCATGCTTTGTCCGTATATGTAAGGATTTTTTTCAGTACATGCATGCCAATGCTGTTAAAACATACATACTAAAAAATTCTCCAATATTACTAAGGACAGGCTAAAAATGTTCATATACATCACTCCTTTATTTGAAATGGTCCTTTAAATTTGAAAGGGTATTCTAGCAGTAAGGCATGTTGGAAAAATGTTAAGATTTTCAAGATGACTGCTACAGTGTTCCAGTCTGGCAACTTGCAGGGCAACATCAATCTTAAGAGAAATGAAGTGATTTCATATGCAGATGGAGATTTTGCCCAGTGTTGCTGAACAGCATAGTGCTGCTATTTAGGGGAGAATTCTGTATGTATTAAAATAGGCAGCCAAGGATCACTGTTGCATAGAAAACAGAGCCAAGAATGTTCTTCAATAGAGAAATATGTTATCAATACAGAATACTATGTACTTATGCTAAAAAAATATTGAGAGAGAGAGAGAGAGAGAAGGATGGGAAGTAGGGAAAAAGAAAAGATGGGGGGGAAGGAGGGGAGGACCAAAAACCTTAAACATAATAGAAGAAAGAGTATTTTTCTTATATGAATACAGGAAAAAAACACGAAAGGTTTCAAGGTTTTCTTGAAAATAGGACTTTTAAAAACATATTTAAGGGCATAAATATGTGGAAAACACCTATTCTTCTACAGTTTTCTATACATGGAAATTCAGAAAAAGAAAACCATTTTCTTGAATCAAGAGGTCAGAGAGTCTTTTTGATCCTTAAATCATACATCTATAAGCTCAATAACAGCACAATGGGGTGCCATGTAGCAGATGCTAACCTGAGAGCCACTTTAAACTTTCCAGATCATGCTCACAGCATTTGGATGAATTTTGGAGTGCTTTGTTCTAACTCTGAGGGATGGTACCAAGCACATTACTCAAGGCTACCAATCAGTTACCTAGCAATTAAGAAACGCATATTTCATTTCTCTAGTAGTAGGCTCTACAATGGGACACAGCATAAGAAATTAAATGGGGTATAAATACGAATCCCTTATACACACAGATCCTCACAAAATTTACCAGTGTTTCCTGAACAGAAGTTCGCTTTGAGTAACCTTTATTATCAAGGACATAATTATCAAAATTGAAGGCTGGGAGAAGATCATGTAATCACAGTCTAAGCTAGTGCAAACTGAATAAGAAAAATTTGCAGATAACCGGTTAATGAACCATTTATTAAATTATAAATGAGTTCATGATTATGAAGTATATTTATTTACCTGTTTCTCTCCACAACTGCTGTGTTTTTCAGCTGACGTAAAATTAAAAATTCTGTTTGAAAACTTTACTTAAAATACACTAGCTTAGACTGATGTACTGATTTATTCAGGACTACTTATTATGCATCCAACTAGTGAAACATTTGGAAAAGCAAAAAGGAAGCCAGAAGTCTTTTCCCATATATTAAAAACACAACCTTAAAATACTTCCCACTTCATTTTACACTATTGCTGTTTTTTCATACTGCATGATACCATATAATTTCACATGATTTATTGGTTAGGCAGTCTTTTAAAACAAGATCTTTTAAGTTCAAAAGTATAAGCATTACATCCAGTTAAACATGAGTATTCTAGTATCATCTTTAAGAGAGCAGATGACAAAAAGACTTGCTGCACACATTACTGATGCTTTACCACATCTTTTCAACAGTGCAGCACTTAATGCCAAAGTGAAACTGCATCTGTGTAAGCCATGACTCCATTTGTCCAGCACAAACTGTATCTGTTCTGAATAGAGAAGTTCTCTACATCATGTTAACACGATATACTATGTAACGATATACTATAATGCCATATTTATATTACATATAAATGTAACATTTACAAAATGTTTTACACTCATGTTAACTTTGCAATCCCTGTGTTGTGTTACGGGACCTTAGTGTAAATGAGAATTTCTGTGTTCAGAATCCATATTTTAATCATGTTGTCACCAGGTTAGGAAGAGTTTACAGCTGTGTATCAAACATCTAAATGATATTCAAATAAGCTTCTCATATGTATTATGATTGAAACAAAACCAGCACACTGATGCTTTGAAAAATGTCTGTTGTTACCTTAAAGGTATCTGGAAGACTGAATCAACTCTAAATCTAGTGCTATATGAGAAAACAAATGAAGCTTAAAAACATTCTACAGGCTGAAGTGTTTTTCTGCAATACATTTATAAAATGCTCAGGTTTTTAAATACTCAGGAAGAATGAGAGGTTGTAGGAAGTTGCAGTATTATTACGTATTATTTATTTGAAAGAGATGGTCTTACAAATTTATAAGCTGTTTTCACAGCCGGAGTGGCTTTGGTCATTGCTGTGTTGATCAGTGCACTGCCTTTCTGAAATACACAAAAAATGTATTTTAGTAACATTTATACAAGTCAAACCTTCAGACAACAGCAAGGGAAAACAAACAGTGTGCTGTAAAGAAATAACAATCTTCCTTTTAAATCGGCAAGAATAACCACAGCTGTGTTTCCTCCCCAACCTGCTGTCTGCAGCTACACAAGGGTTACAGTACATCATTATCATAGCTGACACATTTATCAATGCATTCTAACAGAATGATGTATTTTCATTCTTCAGTCATTGTTACCATTTCAAAATCAATTCAGAAGTTATGGCTATTTTTCATGTGTTCCTATCATATTTATTATGCAACTTAAAAATACTTTGACCTGACAGAAAGAACTATCTCATTTAATCACACAAGAATTCTCTTTATCTAAAATAATACATTTTACTAATCCTGCAGAATAGCAAGGTTATACCAAGGGTCTTCTGCTAGCCAAACTGCACAAATCCATATTAATGAAATTGCTATTTACTAGAAGTGATAAACTTCGTATCAAATTGTACTGTCACACCTAATTCACAGTTATGCAATGTAACATGATACAGAAAGCAGTGAAAACCCTGACTATACAGACAGAAAAACCTTGGGCATTTTGGCATTCATTTTGGGACTTTTTTTTTTTTTCCAAATCTTCAAGAAAAAAACCACAAAATTATTGCATATACCATAGACATGTTATTTGTTATAGAATGTACTTATATTTTCCTTGCAAATGAATGAACTTTTACCATTACGTATATGTAAGGAAAAGGACAAAGATTTAAAGAACAGGATGGCCAGTATAATTACTTAACCAAGTTTATACCTTCACTGTATGCATCCACTGTTGGTAAGATCTTGAATTTCCTGAAATAGAAATGTAAAATGTAACACAATCAAACACACGTTCAACATTTTAAATGTTACAACCCTCCTTACGATCTGCATAAAAAATTCCCTTAGAGGATTATTCATTAATTTCATTCTTCCTAGATAGACGAGGAATGTAAAGATAAGAATATGTGTACACTATAAAAAAAACCTAGGTATCTCTTATTTCACATTTTCCATTTTCTTTGTAAAGGCATATCTTTTCACCACACAGTGTTTTTAATTCCAATTGAGGTAGAAAGAGAAATTAAAACTACGATAAAGTAACATACAGCTAAAAAGTCTAGAAAGAAAAACACCAACTCGAAGGAAAGAATAATATATAATGAACTGCATTCAAGCATAATCCCACTGGGCAAACTTTCAAGTACAAAAATGGCATGGACTGCAGATGGTACCATCCCAAGGAAAAAGAATGAGAGAAAAGTCTAAGGATTATGGCACAACTATACACTCCTGTGCAGGAAAAATCCTTTTAAATTATTAACTGTGTCTACTTTCTTTCACAAAGGAAAACCTCTGAAAGGCAAGTGGGAGCTACTGGCTTCTGTAGGACTACCGAGGACTATTGTGCCACTAAGCTAGCCCTGAAGGACAGGGTTAAATTCTACCGAGCACTTGACGAAGAAATGAATACTATTTCCCAAAGGTGCTTCAGCTGAACACCAAAGATTGGGTCCCTGATCTCTGAGAAAGTTTCAGAGTACATCAGTCACTTGAATACTCTGGTACTTTGAGCTGTTACTAACCCCAGACAAGACACTCACATTGACAAGAATGCTGAAGCTTCAAACAGAGAGTTTATCCATTTTGAAAGGACCATACTGATATATCCTTGACATTACAGACTTTCAACAGGAGTTCTCAGGACTCTTAAGCTTTGCAATGATCAATTGACTAAGACCTGGGTGGAATTATTGCATTGGCTAGTGGAAAGCCAAAACATTCTCCGAGAACATGGCTGAGAACTAACTGGATCATTGTAAAAGGTATTCCCGAGTTTCTCAATGAGGTGAAAAAACTGAGCTGTTTATACTCATATCAGGCATTTTCACCCATTCCACTAAATTCTTTACAAGCAGTTTTGAGACAGCCAGACTCTCAGGAATGATGGCACAAGCGAAAGCAATGCTTGCTTAGAAAGGAGAGAACCTGATGATCATTATGATCCTTTCTCCAGTAGGAACATCAAAGAGCAACCTAAAGCAGAAATGACTCATTTTTTACTTCTTTGATCTTGCTCCCTGGAACTATCAGAGAAGGTAGCATGCAAATAACATGTAATACGGTGAAATTTAACCACTGGTAGTGTGTTAAGGACATTTCAATGAACCATAAGTACTTTCTCTAACATGACATTTCTTAACTTCAAATTCTTATCAAAAATATTCATATTTCATCTGGCTTGTGATGTCCTTAACAGTGACTCTTTCCACATCTGAGCTTTCTCTGTCAGCCTATGACTTAAGCAATTACTAGGGACAGTAAATGAGATCACAGAAAATCACCAAGAAGTTTCACTGTCTTCTAGTTGTTTAGAGAAACTTCAGGGAAGCCAAAAAAGAAACAGATAAATACTCATCTACAGAAAAGACCATGTTAACACTGCATACCCTCAACTAGAGTTGAACCTCCTGAAACTCTAGCAAGGAAATGCTGAATCCTTAAAACAAGTTATTATTAAAAGTGATGTTCAAAGGTTTTCACTTTTTCAGTTTTCCTTATACTACTACCATTGATATTAGACCAACTGAAAAAAAAATGACTGCTGTAGTAAAATTCATGCAATTACAATTACTTTAATGGATATGTTCTACAAGAAATCCAAGCGCTAAGCCAATCAACTATCGCTATATTCTTCTATTGAAAGTTACGCAAAACTCTTGAGAACTAATACTTCCACAGAACAATACACGTCACAGAAAATAAAATTTTAAGTATAAAGTGCAAACTGTAATGAAGATGGGTGACAAACTTCTTTTCACATATAGTCACAGGGAAATAAGTTTTGACCATTTTATTGTAAAAAAATTATAAAAAATAATGAAAACTAAGTTTTATTCTCCAATTTCCAGTTTAATTTTCTGGTTTAGTTACGCTCGTGTATGTGGAAAAATGCAAATTAAAAAAGAGATTACTTAAAGAAACACTTTCCATTTGATTCAGTAATTTTAAAACTATACTCTCTATAGCTAAGAATATGTTCACCTGTCCTTTTAGCAGCTTGTAGCTTACACTAACTTTCCGTGACTTTTCTAAAGGCTGGGTTTCACCTGTTTTTTTAAAACCTTGGGCTTCCTGATAAAGTTGATGGGAGTTAACTCTGCAAAGAGATCATAGTTCTGCCCCATTAGCGTCACAAAATGTCACCTTCAATTGCATACATATTGTTAGCCCTGCGCTTCATAACGATAATGAGACAGCAGTTATGTAAATACTGAATATGTGCCCTAAGCAATTTGTCCACAACCTGGCAATAACCAGCTTGTCTGACTTGAAAAGTAAGCACACAGTGCAATCTAACCGAGAACTGCTAGCAAAGCCAAGCATTCCCTCCTGACCAGAGCCAGGTGAGACGTGGTTCACAGGCAGCCAGCACAGCCAAGAAACAAGCTTTATCTAACTTCTATTGCAGTTTTATTGCAGCCTCCTGACCCCCTAACTGCAGTGAGTGAATGAACTACGAATACTGACACCACCTATCTGAATAATGGATGCTCAATGCCTAAAATCTGTTTACAGAGCAGCATAAGTTACCCTAAAAAGGTAGAAAAGACGTAAATCTCTGTATAACTAACCACACTTTAATCAAGGAAAAAGAAAAAAAAATTATGTGCTAGATCATAGCACAAGACACAGAGGGCAGGAGAAGGCAGTGAAAATCTTGAACAAAAGGATTTATGTACTCTGAGTATAAAAAAGGTATTTTACAGAAGGTGAAGATAGCTCTGCACCACTCGATCATTTCTCCGTGGGGGCCAAACCCTTTACTCTGTAAATATGCCCATTTAAAGGTAGTCTTTGCAAAGGGAGACCATTTAAAGCTGCCATATGCAACTCAGTGCATTTGCTCAAATCACATAACCTCCATTTACTGAGAAAGCTTCTACACTACTTTAAAGACCATAAAACGGTATTTGTGCTGTGATGCATATTTTGATCCAATATTTTGATAGCAAATATGATACCTCAAATAACAATACAGCTGTAATAAATGCCTCACAGGAAAGCAATCAATAATCCTGTAATATTCAGCAATGGATTCAGCACACACCCTTCTATATGGGTTAACTTTGTAAGCTAGTTAACATGAAAAGTGTTATAACAATTGTCAGTGAACATAACTGAGGGAAACAACACAAGGAATAACATTTTTATTTATGAAGAAGGTAAAATTTCAATATTCCTTCTGAGATTATACGCAAATGTTAATTTTTTCCCCTCTTTTTGAGAGTAACACATTTGCTGGAGAAAGAAAATTTCTCTAAACGTTCAGGAAATCACTCTGATTTCTGCACTGCAGAAATAATTAGATGTGAAAAAATTTAGAAGTGTTTATGGAAAACATAACTATCTAGAAAAAGTTCGGCAGCACAAATTACAAAATTATTTTTAAAATACAGTTTACATATATCACATTATGTAAACATGCAGTTAAAAAGTAAATAATATAGTGATATTTCATCACATATTGAAATCTAAGTATTATTTTACTGGATTAAAACAACGTATCTTCTTTTCATATACATAACTAGATACATAATAGTATGCGTCCCAGCAGTGATTTGTTAAAGGCTAAAACTTTTCCAAGAATGAATGGATACAATGAAGCAGTAATAAGATTAACGACTTCTAAAATTTACAGGACATCCTGAGAACATCATCATGTTGAACAGCTCCCAAAGAAGCATCATCAGTGAGTACACACAAATTAATTCTGTACCTCCACAAAAACCTCCTGCTGTGATTTCTTCCTCAAAAACATCAGAGAATCCTCTTCCTGCATTTAATTTTGATAGCCGACCATCAATAAACTGAAAAAAAAAAAAAAAAGTCACACTGTTGGCCCTTCTATTGCTATACAGTGTTACAGTTTTCAGTGCGTACATTATAATGGAATATGGATGTTCAAGACAACATATGGCTTACCGATAATATAATGCTTTTAGATGGATTTTGCAAGAGCAGTTGCAACTATGAGCAGCAGAAATATCAGAGTATTTTATATACATCAAGTAAATTATATGTATTACGCAAAATTTACAAATGGATTTGTAAAATTTTATAGTCAATGAAATTACACATCAGTTTGTTCAGAAATATTTTAAATGGCTTTCAAGCTTTTCTTGCTTTTTTAATGGCATGAAAATATATTAATTTATTTCCTTACAAATGGTAACTTTGGATTTGTAATCATAATCAAATAAAGATCACTGAGACACTCTTTGATGTTCTGTTTTGAAATGATAAGTTTACTTCACATCATCAAGAAAAGAACAAAACCAAACCTCCCTATGGTATTCCTTTCTGGGTATGCATCAATGGTCCAAAGCAGAAGTTGTACACAGAAAGTACCTTTAGAACAACTGGAAACATTTCACTACACCCAGTTCAAAGAAATTATAGACTACGATGTCTACTTGAGGTCCATTAAAAGTGTATGTGTTTTACATGAAAAATGACCCTACAAGGACAGTATGTGGAAGGGAAATTGTAGCAAAACCATCCACACAGAAATAGCAGAGGAAGACTGTGACTTGGTTTCAGAAATGGTGGTAGCAGGAGATTGGATTTGACCAGCAGCATGCAAACGGGCTCGAGAGATGTTTCATTTAAGTGTATGCAAATGTGATGCATGAAGTCCCAATACAAAGTGAGGTACCATGACAAAGTAGACCCATAAAGCCCCCTCCACCTGACAGAGCACAGTTCAGGGTTGACACCACCGTATTTTTTAGTTCCAACACATCTGTTTGCCCTTTCCTTTTTTTAACCACTAACACTTACTTAGTTGCATCTACAGATGCATATTTGCAACAGTTGTCCTTATGCAGAGGTTACAGGTGCATAAGCACGTGGATTTGCATCCACATATAAATGTACATAGAAAGACTGAAATGATCCAAACATGCCAGAAAAAGTCAAAGTAAGATAATTAATGATTAAACCTTTCAGAAAGAATGAATACATTCTTTTCAAGAACTACCCGGCTTCAAAGAGGTACAACGAGCACATTCTTAAAGGTTTAAAATTCTTTCAAGAAGTAACCCCTCCCTTTTTGTTTTGAAAAGGCTAACTCAGGTCTGAGAGATAAAGTGAGAAAGCACTTTTCCAATTATACATGGTTCATCTTCTAACAAAACTTATGAGCTATTTACTAGTACTAAACAGTACATAGGAACTAACCAAAATTAATTATTTGGCTATATCATATTTTACCACAGATTATCCAAACAATGCCACTGACAATCTGATGCTTGTCAATGAACAGACTAGTGACATGAAACAAATGACTTCTCAGAGTACAAAAAATCTGGCAGCAAGAATAAGGCAAGCATGAAGATAACCATTTCTTTCACTTTCTTGTCTAAATTCCTTCTTATTTTTTCATTTTACTCCAAGTTGGCTTTTTTCCAAATAGGTTGGTTCATGGTCAGACCACATCCAGATCACTGGGGGCAGAACAAAAAAAAACAACCCCTCTCCTCCTATCCCCAGCCTTTGAACTGTAAGACATTATCTCTTTTGGGAAAGTTATGAATTCTTTCCATACTATAAACTAACAGAAGATTTATGGACATACTCATCATTTGGTAAAATTCTATCAACAGAAGGCTGAGACTGACCGAATTTTAGTTTTTAGAGGATCACTCCAACTGAGTATTTAATGTAAACAGTGACAAACAGAACTGTTAGCAAAAAGATATTGGAGACATTACTTAAATGAAATTATAAGTGGTAGTAGTAGTTATTACTTTTGAGTAATTTACTGTAAATGGTTTCACTTAAATTGCTACATGAAAAGAACGGGGAATCACACATACACTTTATGGTTTTCTCCTCCCCTTTTTCAAACCCACCCTCTCAAAAAATCTGGGCCTGCTATTTCAAGAAATGCATTCAATTTGAGATCCAGAGAGCCCTTGGTTGACTACTGCTTTCAATGAAAAACTAGTAATTCCAGTGCTGCTCATGGATTGTAAGCTGAATAAAGACAGAACTATCATAATCCTTAAGTAATTTTGAATTCTAAAAACAAAATATAGACCATACCCACTTCAGAAGATCTTGTTACACAGGTGGTAAAGGGTGGGGATGATGTTCGTGAGCTAAGCCCAATCATTTATTTAGGCAGGAGTAAAAATTCCAAGTCAATTCACCCATTGTTAAAAACAAAAAGTTGGTAGAAGCAAAAAAAACATCACAAATGTGATTTCCACATATTAACAGCTCAAAAGCTTGCAAGAAGAGAGCTCAACTCATAAAGCTTGTAAATGAAATTTGAAATTACTAGTAATTTTCAAAGACTTATGATTCTTCAAGTCCTAATCCTGCATTCATTATTTATTTTTCTAGTTAGCACTTTCCACCATTTTAGGAACAAATTCCAATAAATGTTGCAGATTATATTACTTATACAATTACATTATTTAATGAGATAGTCTAGCATTAGGGTTCATGCTAGTTCTAAGAATGAATTAATATTTTCCCTGGACACTCATCAGAACTATTTGACATGTAAGATGCAACTATTAATCGCTTATGTTTGCAGCTTGAAATAAAGATTAGCTACCTTCCATGTTACCCTAATTAAAGGGGAGCCTTTCTAAGGCTCAGAAAAAGCTAACCAATGGATAGCTACATAATAATACAAATACCAAAGATGTGGAAAAAATAGTGAGGAAAGAAGTAACATATACAGTCTAAGAGAACAAGCATTTAATCTGAAGAAAAAGTGTCATATACAGAATATTTAATCAGGAAATAAGAATATTTAGTATATAAATAACAGTTATTTTCTTTTTAAGAAAAATATTTTTTATATTATTAAATATCCTAATAGTTTAACAATAACAATTTTTTAAAATTGTTTTTAAAAGGGTTTTTAAAATTAAATCTATTCAGGGCAGAACACAGCTTTAAAAAACTAAAACCAGCAAATTGCAGCAAACTGAACTTCACGCATCCCTATAGTTGTGATCCATATCAGGGTATTTACCATAAATTACTTCTACAAATTCCTGGAAAATGTATGTTTTGCATAAACAGTTTCGTGTATTCTGTTTCAGAGCAATATAAACAGTCCTTCCAACTTCTAAAAAACGTGAAGTCATCAACCTGATTTAAAAGACATCTCCATAATTTATAAGTCCAAGAGAGTGCCTTGAGGCTAAAAGATAATCTAGGCATGGTCCCCATCAAAAATATCCTGTCTCGATTTTCAGTAAAGACTACGATGCTGAATAAGGGAACAAAAATACCAAGTGTTAATGAAACATTAACATTTATGTGTTATTATACATCATAATACCTAAGGAACAAAACTCAAATCAAAAAACCCCTAGATTCACCTCTATTACACAATTCTAAGGAAACCAGCAAGTACAAAATTTTTATGAGTCTATCGAGGTAAAGGAAACACAGCTGAAGTGAAGAATAACAGTACCATTACTTAAAAAACAAAGGTTGTGATAAGTGCTGGTCTATCAGTTTGCCCTTAACAATTTGATGAGGCTTACAAATAGATTTTTGGGGGAAAAACAGTAAATGACTAAATGGAAAGATATAACATATGAGTTACCAAAACACTGGTTCTCACAGATTCTTTGACAATTAATTTTCTAGATAAAGGACATGCAATTTATCTATACCACAGAAAAAACTCTTGCATGTGCCTCAAAATACTAGCTTAGATGAAATGAAAGCAGAGTACCTGAACAGTACACCTGAACTTTAGGTTGGATGAGGACTGGTCCAAAAAGGAGATAACAGCTTGTAATGAAAGGAAAAGTGTCAGGCTGGAAGTGTCACCAGTCATGGTATTTAAGGGTAAGCACTGGAACTGATCCTATTTACAGGTTAATTAATGATTTTGGTACAAAAGACTGGCATGTGCTAATACATTTCGGGATATCATTACTAGAAAGCACATCAAAATGCGATACAAAGTAAAATCAGATGATGTTAAAGATGAAAATAATCTGAATGGGCATAACACAAAGAATTAATTCCATAATTTATTCCAACAGTGATTTCCTGGTACTTTGGTGAAAAGACACTACAACTTCCAGAATTAAGAGAGTGGTTAAATTAGAGGAATTAACATGTTTTAATGTAGGAGAGAGGGGGAGAAGATTAAATACCTACAAAGAAAAAAGTACAGAGGAAGGGTTTTATAAAATGGCACAAATAAAGCTTACTTGTCAGTTATGGCAAAAAGGGTGCATTTAAAGTACCTATTTTCTGCTTGGTCTAGGTTTAAAGCTGCTTCTAAGAACTATTTTCTGCTTGAAAGATTCTCCAGAACAGAATAAAATACAGTTTAGTCTTTTTGAACACAAACAACTTTGAAAACAGCTCATTTGTCATTGGGAAAAACTGGAGAAGATGCAGCTGGGCTGAGGATTAGCTGAAAAAGTAGGAGTAACCTTCACAACAGAAACTAGAGGAATAAAAAAACCCTACTACTACTACTGCTATTAAACCACACACATCATCAAAATTGTTACTATTTCCTAATCCTCTAAAATATATTATTTCCTTTCGTTGAAATAAAATTAAAACAAGCTATAAACAAACTGTAAACTGTTTCTGTTTAATTGAATACATATTAAAATGTAATGGGTAAGTACAGAGCCACACTGACAAGCCCATTCATTTCAGTGGAGTTAACCTTTTTCTTACAGCTGAAGATCTTGCTTTAGTCGTAGCAGCGTGACAACAATTTAGAAACATTGCTTGTAGGCAGCTTTCTATGAAGAAAGTTTCATGCTAGCTTATCGTACTGAGATATGCAAAATGTAAACAACACTGTTCGCTCTGTTACTTCTTTCCATTTCAATCATACGTGCTGGATACTTCAAAAGGTTTCAGATTTCTTCTTTATTATTTTATATTTTTATTTACATTTTGTTATTGTATAAAACAAAATACAGTAAAATTAACAGAGCCCAATTCTATGATCAGCATGTCTTTAACTTTTATACAATTAGGAGAAACATATTTTCACAGGACTTCTACAAACTATCATCCTTGCGTAAATCTTTACTTTAGACACTAGCCTCTGATTAACACCAAATGTTTTTTGAAAATCAGAAGATTTTGCATATAATGAATTTCCCTTATCTATCATGGTAGTATATCTTCAAAGAAGTCCACCAGATTATTTAAACATGAACTCCCATGCTTCAATCATTCCAGATATTTGCAGGCAAATATATACATCTATGAGTCTTCTCATTTCATTCAGATTTTCCTTGATTTTCCTAAAAATCTAGTAACAAGTTTCTTAACACGCTTTTGATGCAATGGGATCATGTGATGAAAAGGGGGGAAAAAGGAATTACAGAATAAAATCAAAGAAAAAAATTCATTTCAAAGACTGTAATAAAACTGTTACTGAGCTGTGCTGGACATTCAACAATTTGTTCTCTATTAGTTCAAATCCTATATTAACAGATCAGCTAGAATATTCTTCAGGCCACCCCTGTGGCTTGGGTTTATAACATTCGCTGTGTGCATAATTCAAAAAGCCTAGCAATGAAAACTGCAATTACAGTATGAATCCAGTTTTTAAATAAAACACCACTGAAGTCCAATTTAGGTAAGTGCTATGTTGTTTAGGTTCTCTGGTCATGAGCCAAGAGAGCTGAAAATGAAGTTCAACCATCAAGCTGGGAGATCCATGATTTTTCTTGTTTAGATGAGTTGCTGACTGGCTCTGAAGAGATGCTGCATTGGTTCTGCACCCTGGGGTTATTTTTTGTTGAGTTCACCCTCCCCCTTTTTAACTATAACTGAAGATTTAAAAATACAACAAAACTAGGATGGCTGTCCGTACAAAAAATACTTGTACTTGTATTTTATCCCAGAGTTTCATAAGCTGACAGAACGGAAAATGTATTTAAATATGGATATGTTTTAAAAGAAAATCATTAAAAATGGGTCATTTACCCTCTCATACCTGTTTAAACAGTTGAAGATTAACAGCAGTTTCCAGGAACTGCTTAGTAGTACTGGAACGATGTTTCACAAAACTATTCTCACAGAAAGTTATAGGTTCTCCCTAAAAAATTTAAACAGAAAAATTTAGATCGTAACTAGAGTATACAAATATGGTTCTTTATTTAAAATTTTCCTTTACAAATTTATTTACTTCTTAATAGTCAATACATACAAATATTCCCTTTAAAGCAGTCTTGATAAACATGCACCCAATTAAACAGACAACAATAAAAAAGCCCAGAAACTTCACACAGTATTTAAATAGTTCTCAAAATACATGTTGCAATTGAACCTCTGGTTTATGAAGTCAGTCTACAAAATACGCATTGCAAGAAAAAACATAAGTGGTTTATAGTTGGTTCATGTTACCTTTATAGCACTGTTCATTAAAAATTCCAAGTGGTTCAAATTTTGAGGAAGAGTAGGTCCATTGCTTCAAATAATTTAACATGCATTATTGCTCAGGATTACTCTTATTTCCTGGCATGCTAAAACAGCAACAGTAGTAAATCAAACCATGTTTTTGGACTGAATTAGAGTATCTGCACCAATTTATTTTTATATTTATTCTACCAAAACATGAGAAGATTGATAAATATACTGCTGATTTAACAGGAGATTACTGAAATACAAATCTATTTTATTTTTACACAAAACAAAAGGTACAAGCTTTTTGGAACATTGTTATGGAGAAAGTCTGAACAGATGAGATTAACATTTAATACAATAAAATGTATTTCCTCAACATGGGAAAAGCACATAGCCTATACTTACCAAAAACCCTGCACCAAAACACTTTGATGATGAAAGAAGAAAAAGTATTCATTGAAATGTAGTGTTTGTTGAAAAAATTATTACTGAAAACAGCACTCATTTAAAAATAAAAGATGCTAATAAGATTATTTATAAACAATTAAGTTGAATCCTATGTTACTCCCTAATTTCATTTAAAATTTGCTATCTCTTGTGTGCACAGACCACTGGACATTTCTGATGAGCATTCTCTCCAATTCTGTTATTCTTGTCAATACTTTGTGATAAATACTTGAAGCTGTCTGACTTAACTGGATAGGTACATTACAAAGCTTGTGTAGTGATCAAGGTACATCACCTGATTGCATCATAAAGCCAAAGGGCCTCTCACCCAAGTTTCCAAAACCAAAATAATGACCAGGTTAGAAACAACGACCAAAGGTCTCAAAGACAGAAAATTTGGAATCCAACAAAATCCCACACCTAAATCTACCATAGAATATTTTACTACCCAAAAGCTACATATACAGTGCAGTCCCACAACAGAATAAAAGACCTCTCAGCCATTCAAAAGAAAAAAGATCAAAGACAACTGCTATATTGATCTTCACAACAGCTCCAACTGTTAGCCACTTTAAAGACAAATTTATTCATGCCCATGATCACCACAGCTTTCTGCTCCTACCCCTGTTTAACTACAGATGCTACTTCAAGCATTTTCCTGTCATTCTGGCTGACTGTGCAGTTATCTGTTTCCAGAATATCACAAACTGTTTTCTGCATGTGACCTAGGTGAGTTTGGCGGAGTGGCTCTAAATGATTTTCAACTGCTCTTTAGACCTTGCACTGTTTTTAAATGGTTCAAGTATAATCCAAGTAAATGTTGCAGTAAAAACACTGTGATGTATTTTTAAAATCCTATTCTTATACTATCAAAAGCTTCCCTCTTTTTAAGTCTCTCTTTTAAGAGGTCCAATCCTATGTAGCAGAGTACTTAAGTTCATGTTTCACTTGTTGTTAAGTTTTACATCCTTACTTCTTTATGGAACCTCTGATTTTGGAAAAGAAATCTCACTGGAAGAGCTAGAAGCTATACATTTACCTAACATAATCCTTCCCCTTTCACAGGCTAGCTGAAATGCTGTGATACGCAAACCCATCTCAGTACAATACGTAGCACTGTCTCAATCAAGTCTCCACGAGAAGCACCCAAGTTACTCCACCTACTACTTATCCCAAGATAACTGGTGAACACTGTACACATGCAGGACATGCTGGATCTGCCAAATAGCTTGAAATGTTTGTGGTGCTTTAAATAGCACTGCCTTCCTGACCCACTTTGCATTAGCTATTCTTGAGCTCCTAAAGACTCTTGTCTTAAGAAGATGACCCCAAGCTACTTAGCAAATTCAAAGTGCATCAAAACAAATGAAATAGTCTCCAGTGTTCTTCCAAAAAATTTCAAGGCAGCAAATTATAACAACTCCTTATTTATATATATATATATATTGTTGTTGTTGTTGTTACACAAAGAAATGATTTCTGGAAATACAGAGGCTTTGTGGGACTGCAGAACTGACTAGATGATGGCTCATGACATACTATGAAACATTAAATTTAGGACCAAAGACAGAAAACAGTATTTTCAAAATATACCATTTAGAAAAATAAAAACTAAGCTATGCCTCCACTGCCACTTTCCCAATTGTCTTCGGAAAGATGAAAGAGAAAAAGGAGAGGTTATCTCCCGGCAGAAGAGAAAACAGGCATGCTTGCTCTCCCTTTCACATCAGCCTGGGAAGAGAGAGCAGTCAGATAGTTTTACTTGATGGCACTTCTCCTGCCCGAGCCACGTAGCAGAACACCAGGAAATGGTCGTTCAACACACATTTTTAGTGCATGGCTGTAATATTTTCCCAAATACTTTCCTTTAATCGCCGGATGCTTCAGATATTTAGTAAGCACTCATGCCCTGGTGCATCTGCTCCCTTATCAGTACAGTTCAGAGACAGAATAACCAAAGCTACTCCTGAGCTGAAAATTAATTTAGATCTATAAAGAGTTCACATCCAAAAGTCATCTATGTTATTTGAACCTACTGATAGCAAGGTTGCTTTAAAAATTTGAGTAGGTTTAAAGCTGCTACCTGTTCAGCACATGAAAACGAGAAAATCTGTTGAAACCTGTAGAAATTCCACACTGGAGTTTTCTGAGGATATCTGCTGTAACTTTACTGAAATTGCATTAAATAATACAATACTCCTAGCTCTTCTATTTGTTTAAGGTTCTGAACAACAAAATTGTTTTCCAAATAAAACTTTTACAAATCTTCAAGATTATTACTGTAAACACGAAGCCTTTTGAAGTGCTATTTAAAAAATAAATTATTGAATCAATATAAACAAAAATAGCTCTAGAAGTTTTCATACATAAAGCTTATAACATTCTCATTTCTGCAAATACAACCGGGTACCTTTAGAAACTGAGTTTTGGAGGAATGTTCCACTGATATTTAACTACTAGACCATCAAATGGCCCCTGTCGTATTGATCTACAATGTACTTTCAAAACAAGTTCGATCAAAACCCAGTGGGGACTCTATACTGAAAAGCAGACAGCTAATACTCAGACCAAACAATCTATGCCCAAACAAGATATCTGTCCTTTCAACAACAGTTGCTATAGAATTTCCTTCCCCTTTCATAGCTTGCCACACACAGCGG